CAGTTTTTTTTTTTTTTTTTCTTACCTGTCGTTTATCTCGCGACCTATCGATGACGAATGGAACAAAAAAAACAAGAAAAAGAAGATAGTCGGAAGAGGAGGAGGAGGAGAGAAGAAGAAGAAGAAGAAGAAGAAGAAGAAGAAGAAGAAGAAGATGATGATGATGAGAAGGGGACGGGCGGCTCCACGGCGACGGGCGACGGGCGGCTCCACGGCGCTGGCGACTCCAAGACGCTGGCGACGGGCAACAGGCGATGGGCGGGTCCACGGCGACGGGGGAGTGAAGCTCCCAGGCGATGGCTACGGGCGGCTCCACGACGACGGGCGGCTGAACCACAAACTGCGCGGGCGGGGGAAGAGCAAGGCCCCGTTTGGACAGCCGATGCAGGCCGCGGCAGCCAGTCGGCTGTTCAAACGGGTCGACGTTTTCCCTCCAAACATCAAACGGCCCTCTGGCCGTCGATCATGGATGATCGACGGCCGGAGGGCCGTCACAATTTCAAAAAAAAAAAGCTGGCCTCACAGGCCCGACTCGCCTATTTTCAGGCCTGGTCGGACCCGGTAGGCCCTGGGGACCCAGCCAACGGCGATTCGGGGTCTGAACCCCCCCCCCCGACAAGGTGTGCTGGGGGTGCCCGGCCCCCAACCGGGCCGCCCGCCCGGCCAGGCCGCCCGGGACCTCCCCCGGGCAGGCGCTGGTCGACCGGGCAGCCCGGATCCGTACTCAGAAAAAAAGAGAAAAAATATATTTGCAAGGCAGCGGTGTCGATCCCACCTGAATGCCCCCATTTTCGAAGTATCTGATGACGGAGCCAAACGGTAAAATGCATCGCCCAACCTCCTGATCTCCTTTCCATGTCTCAAGGAGTATCCGCTCCTCTGGAACGATGGATTTCTGTGTCTGGATCCCCTTTGGTTGTTCTTCTGCACCACTTGGTTTATTACTTTGTTCCGTGTCGGGAACACCATCGACGGGTTTCTTTTCTGCTGCTTGAGCCTGGGAACCATCCACCCCTTCTCCCTTTGCTGCGGCTTTTCCTCCCTTTGTTCCCTCATTCCCATCACCTTTCTCCCCCTTCTCCTCCTTACGTTTTCCACCCCTGCTGCGTGGTCTCTTGCCACCCCCTTTTCCAGGACCTTCTTCAGACTGCTCTTTCTTCCCCTTTCCCTCAGTCGGCTCGTCATCTTTCTTCTGATTGCCACCGGTCTCAGTTGCAGACCCAGTTCCATTTGTAGTTCCACTTTCTGCTGCAGGAGGCGCGTTCTCTGCACCGGGTGAAACAGAAGGAACGACATATTTCCCTGGTTCAGGTTCTGCACCCTTGCTTGAGGTCTTTCGTAAGTAATGTGATTGTGAAACAAAGCAGAACACGTGGCCAGATGATGAGACTTCCACAGTGTCACCTCTTGGTGATGTATGCTGCAAACAAACGAAAACAAAACAAAACAAATTCTCAGTCACTTCCAGGACCATCTGCTCTCAATCTCTCGACAGAACTGCACACATCTGTCATGCTCAGCTACTGGGGGCAGCTGCACAGCTCTTCCGGAGATGGTTAACAGACCGTTATTTTTCAGTCTTCTAGTAACCTTTGAAACCGAACTTGCCACCGATTCAGAGGGTGCACACCACACAGACCGAAGCTGGCCAACAGTAAAACAGAAACATGTATATGTGATCTAGGCTACGAGAGTCACCCAGCCCAGCTCGCACGGCTGGGTGACTGTCACATGCCTATAAATAGCAGATAGACATAGCGCAGAACCGAAGGATACACCAATGGAGAGCAACAACAATGACATGCAGTGGATTCTGAGTGGAAGACTTAAAACCACAGATCTGACTCAGCAGGAGTCAGGACAGACATGTACATCCACTATCATACACACAATGGGGCTGGGCATGGCAACTCATACATAGAAGGGTGTCGCAATGCCCCATGCTCATGGAGAGAACCCACTGACGAAGGAGATGGAGGATGGAGACAAAGGGGATGACGAAGGGGAGACCACAAATCAGTGTCCCAGTCAAAGAATGGTCTCCTCATTTGTCCCCCAAGAGTCTCCGTGCAGGATGCTGTGTCCGAGTCATGGACATGGTGCAAAGAGTCACCAAGGCTCAGCTCTCTCTCTCTCTCTCTCTCTCTCTCTCTCTCTCTCTCTCTCTCTCTCTCTCTCTCTCT